CAAAGAATCACCACCTGACACGCCTTGTAGTTCTTGATGCACATGAGACACTTGGCCATGGGTCTGGTATAGAACATACTTTAACACAATTGCGAGTGCGATTTTGGATTGTGAAAGGACGGCGTGTAGTACGGAACATCGTCAAGTCTTGTCCAGAATGCCGACGAAGATTTTCTATGCAAACAGCCGGTCAAATGATGGCCCCTTTACCTAAGGCGAGATTGTATTCGTTGCGAGCCTTCGACAGAATTGGAATCGATTATGCAGGTCCTTTTTTAACAAAACAAGGACGTGGTAAGATCAGAGCGAAACGCTACTTGTGCCTGTTCACCTGCATAGCAACGAGGGCAGTCCATCTGGAAATGTCGTATTCATTAGATACGGACTCGTTTATCAACGCGTTTACCCGTATGTCTTCCAGGAGGGGGACGCCTACCTATGTTCTCACAGACAATGGCACGAACTTTGTTGGTGCAGAACGTGAAATGCGAGAACTGATTGAAGCCCTCGACCACGACAAGATCATACAAGGTACCAGCAAGCATCATCCCGTCGACTGTAAGTTTAATCCTCCATCTGCTCCTCATTTTGGCGGAGTCTTTGAGGCGATGATTAAAAGTGCGAAGAAAGCAATCAAAGCCATATTGGGAGATGCAGATATCACAGACGAGGAACTACACACAGCCATATGCGGAGCTGAACATTCCAGACCAATCACATACGTTAGCTCAGATCCCAACGATCTCTCGCCACTTACACCGAATCATTTCCTCGTTGGACAAATTGGAGGATCATTCGCCCCAGAAGCACTGGACCAAACAGAAGTGTACAACCCAAGAAAACGATGGCATCGCGTGCAACAACTGCTGCAACAATTCTGGAAACGATGGAGAAAAGAATTTCTTCCGCGTCTCAACGTCAGAAGAAAATGGTTTCATCCAAAACACAATTTAAAGGAAGGAGACGTGGTGCTGATTGCAGAACCTAAGGACAACCGCGGAGAATGGCCTCTTGGTCGTGTAATGGAAACCTATCCTGGTGCAGACGGCCTTGTGAGAGCTGTGAAAGTGCAGTCAAAGAGTAAAGAGTATATTAGACCTGTACATCGCCTGTGTCCCCTTGAGTATATCGAAGAACAGTCGGACAGTGACGACACTAGTGCATGATAGACAGTGATCAATAGTTACGATCACGACAACCTTATTGTATCCTATAGTTATATGCGCATACTTGGTATTGAACAGACGTTTGCAGACTTAAATTTACGTTCATGTTAACCTTATTTCGAATGCATTGCATTCGGGAGGGGGATGTTAAGGAACGAATCGTTCCCTGTAATATAAAGTAAAGACATATATAACCGCTGCGCTTGCGTAATGCGGGCGTCTTTTAGTGTTGATTTTAAGACAGCGTGTTTTGTATTTTTAAATCGGTAAGAAATAAAGAGTTATTTGACAATTATAAAGAGAATCTGCCTTGTATACAGACTATTTAACGACCGTTCTAACAGACGAGAACACCATGTCTCTATAAGAAATGGGCGCCATATATGATTTCTAAACTGATTAAATTATGCTACCATTATATGCTTAAGCTTTGCACGCGTAGAGTTTTTATCATTTATACACCCGGAGCGAGGGATATTCGGAGGAATATTACCTGAAGTGATTATATTTTCCGCGAGGGCTTTGCCCCGAGGAAAATATCATCACTGAGGATAATATTTTGACGAATCCCCCGAACGGAGGGTCTATAAATGATATATTATACCGAAAGTTAAAGAACCCACCAAGTTCAGAATAAACATTAAACCAAGACCAAGTTCAGAATAAACTTTAAACCAAGACCAAGTTCAGAATAAACTTTAAAACTCGAAGCGAATACAAATTTTAATTTCTTATGTATACCTGAGTTTTTGACGTTTTCTCTTTAAAATATTTGAGCATGCATCCTTTGGATCGTTGAAGGTAACATACGTCTTGAAAATCTTTGGTTAACTTAAATCAATAAATCTTCTGTACGAAATTACAAACAACAGCTCGCGAATGCCATATTGTTTCAAAGTGTCATTTGCATCCACTGTTAACACTATATGATAAGTTTGATTTTTTTTTAAGTGTACATGCCTTTGTTTATGAATTGCAAAAGAATTTCTTTGCAATTGATTGCTTGTAAATAATATATCAATAAGATAAATGAAAACAGTCTATTAGTATTGATCCGATATTTTATTGCTTATTCTAAAACGTCATTTTACCGTACTAAATATAATTAAAACGAATATTTTTCACGTGCATCCACTGAACTGTCTTTTTACTAGTTTTACTACTGTACGAGACTTTTTTATGTATATTATTTTTACTTGTAAACTGATCTATTTGTTCATTTTCAGATTCCAATGGCTGTGTTTATTGGTGGAAATACCAGTCAATCTGGCGTGCTACTGCAAATTGCAATGAACGACGGCCATTTATTTGCATGAGAAAAGGTTGGTTTGCATGTTATGTCATTTGATTATTTGAATAAGCTTTTAGGGCAGTTTCCAGTGAAAATTAATTTCAAAAAACATCCACGAGTGAATATAAAGTATGTTACAAAGAATATTATAATCGCGTGAGGTGATGGTCGAGCGTAATGGCTAATGCTTGCTGAGGTCTTAAAAACTCAAAAGTACATGTTTTTCAAATTGGACAAAAATTCATACCATATACTTACCAATAATATATATTAAAAAGTAAACTAATTGCGAGATGAAGACAACTTTTTCTTTAGAAAGATTGTGTGTATTAAGGTGGCTCCCTACAGTTATAGTACAGTTTAAAACATATTTATATAGATCAGAGACCGGTTGTACGAAAGGCTATATCCACCGTTTAACTCGCTATCCGCCGGATACAATTTAAACGCTCCAGAAATCGCGTTGTAGGAAGCCCGTGACGGTGACCTTGAGACCGTTTAAATCGCTACCACCGGCGGATAAACTCTGAGTTTGAAGACATGCACAACAATGAGTATTTCGGATCATGGAAGTGTGCTGGATAGTGATAGAAATGCAATAATCCTGTTAAGGAGTCAACTTCTTAACGCACTGAATTTTTAAGTTACGAGTTGTCTGATACAAATAGTTAAACTCTAGATTCTAGTTGAACGTTTTGAAAAAGTTTTCACACCGATTTTCATAACAAGTTATGAAACGTTGGATTATTTAATGCGATATTGTGTTCTCAATTTTCCGTATTTTGAATATATATATCTTTTATTTTCATCTCAAATATGTAAAAAAATATCTGTTTAATGTATGTAATTTATGCAAACTCAAAGTGAAAATTACAGAAAAAGCCATCGTTAAACCACAAGCGTTCGTGTTGTTCACGAATTATAATTTGCACGCATGCGCAAATAGTGATCATCTCGAATCGATATTCACTGACGTCAGCAGCTTCCACTGGACTTCAGGGCTATTTTTGTCGCGTTTCCTTCCATGAAATTTTTTAAACTTTGCATATTTGCTAAACATGACGATTAGTAAAACATCAAAATTTCATGAAATTCCACAAAACAGATTTTCTGTAGTCATTATTCATGAATATCTCGAAATATGCCTTATAAACCTCCCTTCAAATTTTAATTTGTTATTCCTCTATCAACCATAAAATTTTAAAAAAACATTTCAGAAAATTTGACCGGATGGACTAAAACGATATTGTCGTTTTGTTGTGAAATTAGACAATAAAAGTGTAATAGATAAAACGTCATATCGGCAGCACAAGAACTTTCCTCGAAATGATCATATTGCCCTGTCTTAAGTATATTCAACATACTGAATTTGGTTGAAAATGAGTGTTACCTAAAATACTTAAAATTTTGGAAAACTCTAAGGAGCCAGTATATATCAAGACTAAAAGTTCGTATGAAAAACGTTTCTCTATAGTTCTCTGATTTGCTCATAATTCAGGGTTTATTTTAACGTGCAGTTCTACACAAAATGTGCAGTTCTAAACCCATTTGTGCAGTTCTTAAAACACAAATGTGCAGTCACCAAACTAACAAAAATAGCCTTAATTAAAACAGTCTTCTCATTTACTCGTTACCCTTGTGGATGCTCCAGAAAATTCTAGAAATGCTATCATTAAATTAGCATAAAAAATATAAACGTTTTCTGAGGGAGGACTCCAGACCCTCCTATTTTCCTCACAAATCACGTACGTGCTGGGGTAATGGAAAAGAAGGTAAAATTGGGGCGAGCGAAGCTCCCTAAAAGAGATTAGAGTGGGAGAACCTAATATTCTTTGCTGCCTCAAATGTAAATTTAAGGTTGTTATATATTGAAAATCCATGATTCCCAGTTACATGTTTTAAAAACATGTTACATGTTCAAACACATGTTGCCTTCGTAACATCCCTATATGTGCAGTTCTAAATTTTTCTTAAAATAAACCCTGGCTCATATTAATACTGGTGGTTGTAACTATGGCCCCGTTTACACTGTACCGCACTATACCGGATTCGCTGGTCACGACATCAGTTTTAACTGTCGATGAAATAACCTAATAAACATTTATAATGGTAGTAACAAACATACAGACGTTATCGAAAGAGTAACCTTTGTTGTTAAACGTTCCTCCTGGACAGCAAACGAAGATGTTGTGACCAGCGAATCCGGTACAGTGTAAACGGGGTCTATCTTGTTACGGTACCACCATGCATGCTTTAATTTGCATATAAGTAATGGTATGCTTCATTTACAACACAGCTGCTAATATATCAGCCGTTCTGCACGAATAGTAAACCACTAGAAACAATTGCTTACTCCGCATATAAAATTACCCTTTATCTCAATATCCCAACAAGTTAATGGATTGCTGATGTTGTGAACAATATTACTTACACAAGTTCTTTGAATGTTTGCATGGCGATAAAATATAATTGTTTTTGTTTGTGGAAACACCACGTAAATTTATTACTGCAAAGCTTTCGATCCGTAAGCCCGGATCTTCATCAGTGCTAATAATATGACATATTATTAGCACTGATGAAGATCCGGGCTTACGGATCGAAAGCTTTGCAGTAATAAATTTACGTGGTGTTTCCACAAACAAAAACAATTAATATTACCTACATAAGTACGATTCTGCAATACTGGATATGTTAAAAATTATTATTTAAAATATCGCGATGACCGGTTGGATGAATGTAGATTACATTACATATTTAACCTATTAACTGTACATGCAGTAAATATTTACTCTTGCTACTCTAGACCCTACTGCTCCTACATATGATGCAGCTAACAAATTAAAATTTGGTCTAGTCGGAAATGGTGTCACTGGGGGTATGTATTCTCTTTCTGCCTGATCTTTTTTTAATAATGTCTGCACGTGTTCTAAATGGATTAATTGTTTCCAAGGTATATTAGAAAAGCAAGCTTAACCTGGGTTGGGCATACGGATTGACTAGGAAATTCATTCTTCCCCCCTCTCCCAATTTGCTCATATTGTGAATCGTATAATTTCTAACATTTTGCCATGATATATAGAATGATGAAAAATACTAAGTTGTGCGTATCGTTAACAAGCGTACAACCAAATGTTGTGTATGGAACATAACATTTGGTTGTACGCTTGTTAACGATACGCACAACTTAGTATTTTTCATCATTCCATACAAAGAACCGTGAAAGGATTTATAAGGATTGAATAATTTACACATACAAATATGTATTTTAAATTGTGCATTTCAAAAAATAAAATTGCAGTTAAAACATTTGAATTTGGTTGATTGCTTTGATAAATCTCACACGAAGCGAAGCATGAAACAACTTGTTCGTTCTTATAAGATGGCCGAACCAAACACTGAAGTCATCAAAAATAATTCCTTCCAATGCGGTGCTTAATGCTTATAACCATAAATTTGTTTCTTTATTCAGTGTGGATGAGCAGTGCCACCCACTACTGGCCTCTTTCTAACGTTGACAATGGAAGCATAGCTGGAACTATAGATGGTCGAGCATTTGGAAACATTAAGGTCATAACTGGTGTGAAAGATAAGCCCGACAGTGCTTTACAGTTCTCAGAGTCTGGCATGTACATTGATGTTCCATTTTACGCGCAAGATTGCTTAACCTTTCCGGACACCTGTCCTTCGAAACATCTGACACTTTCGTTTATGGCTTCGTTCGATGCAACTGCGGCAAATTGGCAGAACGTTGCGATTTTGGATTCTTTGGGAGGAAATAAAGAGAACTCCACTGGAATATCTGTTACTATTAATCAACAGAAACTGGTCTTCGTGGTTTCTTATGTTGACAGATTGTGGACGGTCAGCATACCTATTGAGGGCGATGGAGTTTGGCGTCATTATGTTATGACTTGTTCTCCAATTGCTATAGAAGTTCTTGTGAACGGGAAAAGTGCTATTTCAAGGTTAGTAACTATACTATATCAACAATACCACCATGCAGAAAAGTGAGAGATTAGTGACTATATAACTATATATAACTATATTTATTAGCATTCTTCATTTCATTAAAAAAACACTAAGGGAAATGGTTTCATATACACTCAGAGTAACATCACACAAACAACTAAGGGAAAAGGTTTCATATTATACCAATCCGGCAAAAGAGAGGCCCCTGAAATAGAAATTAAGTGATTTTGTAATATTTAAATAAAGATAGGAAGTTTCAAAAAGCTTCATATGAAGTACGCAAATCGTAAAAGTACAAAAAGTTGAATTTTCTATTACCAAGCCTCAAATTTAACTACAAAGCCTCTGCGGAGGAGAGTGAACCCACTCCCCGTCGACGGTCGTGGCGGGTAGGTTATTGGGCCCTTTTGAGCTGGTGTCGAGTCCTCGTAGCACAATGTTACGCCAGTAGAATGTACAGGCACATGAATATATAAGTTAATTAAATGAGACTACTAACTCACTGTGCACGAAAGTAGCATAATGTCGGTGCTGGATATTCAAATTTTTGTACGAGTGTGCCTTGTGTGGCAATCACGACTACTTTCGAGGAAACAGATAAAGGATCGATGTTCCCTGCAATTATCCGTAGAATTTAGTCAGACGTCATTCTCTCGTCCTGTGCGTGGAAAATTCGTGGTCTTTTTTACACAAGTCGGCGAAATAAATTTTGAGTGGCTGTCTTGAAAAGAACGACTCAACGACACCAATACTTTTTAAATCAAGTCATTTTTTGTTCAAGTAATTCCTATGCATTGTATGTGAAAGCTTCTTAGTTAAACTAAAAGGAAAGCAAATTATTTTCATTTGCGTCCTTTCCGAATTAAATTTATTTCATTTTGAAAGTGCGAGTAATAAGTTGAAGCTCGAGTTGAATGTGTATAAATATCGCCAATAAACAGTTAATTTCAATTCACATTTAAAAACGTTTTACGTAGAGTTTCGTTTTGAAGTTTACATTAAAATAAAGCCCATAAAAACAAAATAATATACCTACTTTATATATTTTAGAAAATGATAGTTCTGTTTCATCTATTTTTTGCAGGTTTGTGCAAAAAATTAAAAAAAACAATTATCGTGTTGACATGACTAACATGACATGAGCAACGTGAGCGTTCAGTGACAGTGTTAGCGTAATTACGAATACTTCATGTTAAAACAATGTTTGGAAAATATAGGCGAGTGGGTGTTGCATGCATGTACAGTATTTCTAGTTGATATGTGCTAACTAATATGACGTACAATTCAACTTGAATTGTCTAGTATTTTATTTGATATAAAGTAAAAAAGGAAATAAATGTCAAACCACACGCGAGAAAGTACACAAAATATTTTTCTGACGTCATACACACTAAAACTAACTGTATTTTTCTCGTGTTTCCTTCGGTGTTTTAAAACTTGATGTACTTTGTACACTGTACAGCAATCATAAAATGCACAATTCCATAAAGTATGCGCGCTTAAAAACAAAATCGTATAGGAGCCGTTTTTTTATTTTGAAAAGCAATATTTTGAGTCACTAGCTCACGGCCTACACGGTTTTGGAGAAAAATTGGCTAACTGTAGGCCATTGAGCTTCAAGTGTGGAAACAATAAAGTTTCGCCCGCGAAGAAAATAGTCAAAAAAATCAAAGAAGGAATGCAAAAATACGATCTTTTCGAAATTTCCTTGTTGCCATGGCAACGAGAATATTTAACGACATTTTTTTTGTTTTTCATAATCTTTACTAGCATTTAGGCAATGTTGTGTGGGAGTTTCGTTATCATATCTTGCAAACTGAGGAAATAATAGGTCTAAAAGTACTGTTGTGCGCTATGTCGGGAATACTACAAGCTTTCGTTAGTAGGGATATTATAACTACCTGAAAAATATAAGGAATATTTCGACGTTTCGAGGGAATGCTCTTCGTCTGGAGTTACTGGGGAGGCTCCTTAAATACCTATAATATATCCATGGCGATTCATGTTGACAATCTTACAGATTGGGAACTTATGTTTCCCTCAACAATTAACATGCCGAGGAAAGAGACAAAGAGTACTATATGATTCTCTATTTTTTTACTATAAACTAATTGACCGAAAAGCGCTTTGTATAGGAAAATCAAGTTGCGTCTATATCTGGAATGCAATTTTTGTTTTTGTGTTTTAGAGCCTATGTACCAAATCTCAGAAAAACGATACATTCTAAAAATTTAAAAAGGAACTTTCATATTGGACTACAAACTGCTTCGAAAGTATCGTCAGGTGCTCTTAATTTGACTATGTTGGCATTCTGGGAAGGTATTCTCCCCGAGAAAGATATTCAAGCAATTTACAAGACCGGTAAGTAATGCTTTTGCTGACCTCGAAATTATCTTGCCATTACCAGAAGTCAGTTCGAACACAATGGTATCCACGTTTCAAAGCATTCAATTCCTTTATCTAATACATGGTGGCGTGATTTTTGCTATAATTTATGTATGGGATCATGGGAGAAATTAAAAAGTAATATAGGTAAAAATATAATAATGTGTTTTATCGCGATTGTTTAAATATATTTTCTGCATAAATATGAGGATTTTTGGGCATCTCACTCGATTGAACTCATTTTGAAGGATTTTGTAAAGCATGGGTTCCAGTGTAAATGTTACACTTAATATCATTAATCTACCTGAAGCGAGGGAGATTCGGCGAAATATTACCCGAAGTGATGCTCCCAAGGAAAATATCATCACTGAGTGTAATATTTCGCCGAATCCCCCGAGCGGAGGGTCTATAAATGATATATTATACCGAAACTATAAGTTGAGAATGTAAAACTTGCCTTGAATGTAAAACGTCTCTAAGTTGAGAATGTAAAACTTGCCACATACCTTTGGCTTTGTGAATACGATGTTTTATTTTTGATTTAACGCAAATATCGTCGCTTTTCTTTTCACTATTATTTTGTTGGCCATCTTGTGTTGCCTCGCGTGGTTAATGCAAATAATGCTCAACCCCATGTTCCCCAGGGAACATGTGGTGGAACATTGTCAAAAGGAACGCAGGCTCGCTATAATTGATGACGTAAGACGTGATATCGCGATTACTTTCATGCTCACGTGCCACAATCTGAGCTTTCTGATTGGACAAGTTGAAGTTGAGGTATAATATATTTATGTATACCTTACCTAGCCTGCCAACAGGCTCTCAAGCTGAATTGAGAGCCTGCATCGATGACTAATGAATTTGAATATCTGCGTCTCAAATCGTGACGCGAAATTCTCATTGGTCAGATGCTATAATTCAAATGTTTCCGCGGTACTCTATATATGTCAACTGTTGAAGCACTATGCATAAAAAACACATTAACTGATCAAATTTGTCTTGGCCATCTTATCTCAAAGCACGAAATGTTCTGTTTTGAGAAAACAGTATTTAAAACATTTAAAAACTTTTGCTTGAATATCTTACATTTCGAAAAACAGTATAAACTGTATACGGTCTAAATTTAGTTTGCACGAAAGTTGTTAAAACAACACCATATAAGGATAGACATTCCATATTTGGAAAAACGAACGTTACGGGGCAGATATTCAAATTCATTAGTCATCGATGCAGGTTCTCAATTTAGCTTGAGAGCCTGTTCGCAGGCTATACCTTACCAGGAGCAGATGCAAAAATGCAACTATTGGCCCTCTGGTAGGAATCGCAATTAAGTAAAGTACCACCTATGTAAAGCCATATAATTAATTCTACAGGCATTATTGGGTTAAATATATCAAAGTTCGATTGGTCGAAAATGTATTCTACCATATAATTGCAATAAATAACATTTTATTCCAGTAAATAAACTAAACTTGCCGTATGTATATTAAAATATAATAGCAAAAATTACGTCACCCGTAATTATTGAATGTGCTCAAACAATTTCTAGTAATGCTCATGCACGCATGTGAATTGAGAAAGCTAGAGAGATGATAGCACATTCTATTGGCATAATTGCAGTTCAAATTGTTAGACAAACAAATATCCTCTATTAACGTTTCCCATTGGACTGTATATTACTGTCTCTAAATTTCTAATGAAATAAATTTTGTTTTAGAATTTGGTTGGTGTCCTAATGGCTGGATCGCATTTGGAATGTCTTGCTACGAATTTACTACAGGCGGATCATCATGGAATGATGCTCGTTCACGATGCCAGAGTTTAGGCGGAGACTTGGCTACGATCAGTACGCCAGTGGAACAAGCACTGATTACGGGACAAATAAAAACAACGTCCTGGATTGGTACGTAAGATAACTATATAAAGGGTACTACGGACACCTATTGCATGGTTGCATATAAGAGCTCAATATATAAAGTCCGAAAATTTGGAGTCCAGCGTTGGGCGGGAAGTTGGATATATAAACTTTTTGGATATTCCTCGAGAAAAAATATATTTATTGATATTTTGATTGGAAGCGTTGAGAATTATATTTTTATTTATCTGTTTAGCTTGAGTAACTGCATGTCGAGGAATTTTTAAGAAGTGTATGAATACATATAATATACAGTACATGCAGTATCAATTTTGCATCCAATTTAGACCAAAATTAGTTTATCCCCCTATCATGGATCTATGCAGCTGTTAGCTTTCAATTTTGTATGAAGTTAATCGATCGTTTTAGTAAATGAAGAAACTTTATTCAAAACAAATACCAATATTGGTACATCGAATACCTACATATATATATATATATATATATATATATATATATATATATATATATATATATATATATATATATATATATATATACTATATATATATATATATATATATATATATATATATATATATATATATATATATATATATATATATATATATATATTAGTTATAAAATATAAAAAAGACATTACAGACTAACTCATGCAATATATCAAAAGTTCTAGTATATCGTAGCAATATTTTGAAGATAATTTCAGAATATTTCTATCTTTCATACTTAGTATGTATTGGAACAAACTTTGTGTATCAAAATATTTAAATCATTGGTTAATTTTATAAACAGACTTAATAAAATTCTGTCGTAAAATGTAAACATTGTGTTACCACATGACATTAGGTATAATGTTGTTCATTTCCAACTTCACCCTGATTACAATGTTTACATTTTCTATCACAGTATAGGCAATTTTACATCGACCAATTTCTACTGGTAATCTGTGCGCTGAAACTCGTAATCTTGGAGTTTGAAAATTTTTCAAAGTCCTTCATCTCTAATTTACACATTTTTAGCAAATATTGTATGAAAACAATTGGTTTTAGATTCAAACGCATGCAAACGTTTCTAGCTTCACCAGATAACGTAATATTAAATGCAATCCCTTAGCTTCCCCGAGCTAAGCGGAAAAGTCGAATACGAGCGCGAAAGGCTTAACACAGTACTAAAATGCGGTAGGCGCTACCCCTACAAGTAAAGTTATATTTAGTACGCTACATCCAGCCTAGACCTAGGCCTTCTATTTTTATTTATATTTTTTTAATATTCAGCGCTTTTTCACATGAAAAGACTGGGACTAGGTGATTTGGGGGCGGGGCGGAGGAAGGACGCAAGCGAAAAAATAGAAGGCCTAGGGCGCTTTCCATTTACTGGTCTGTTTCATTCAACAATTTGACCGTTCTGACCGGTTTGGCCGTGTTAAAGGAAAGCGCCCCTAGTGGATTTCCCAACAATAAGGACAAAACTGCCCTGAAACTGCCCTGCTTGCGAAATGCCCAATTATTGCGTTCTCAACTAACAGAATTATTTGCAACTTAACAGCGAATTTAAACCGATACAGGTACAATAAACTCATTTATAGTATAAACTTACTATTTTTATTTGTATACACGCCTAGAAAATCGGGGTTTTATCATAAAGTTTGAAGAACACTATTATTATGTCGACAAAGTGTCGGAGAAAGCTCAAAATGAGTCAAAATATATACCAAAAGTAGAATCTTTCATGAAATATTGTCTTATACACAACTACATTAATATATATTTTCTCAATTTTGGCAAGAAGCAGCCTTGTGTTTGTAAAATATACAAACACATATATACAATTATTAAGTAGAACGGATACATATATTATTAACCCGTACAGTGTTATACAACGTACATTGTTTACAAATGGTATATCCATAATACTTGAACAATAATGTCAAAATCATCATTCCCGATTCGCAAATATAGTTATTCAAAGCAAAACAGTAGATTGTCTTGCGAATAAAAGAATTATTTCGAGTATAAATCAGTGTACAAAATTGTTGCAACTTTAAAGGCCTTTAAAGATGTTTCAGTAAGGTAATTCCGCAGTAATTGTTCCCGAAATGAGAATGTGCTGAAACTTCCCAGGCATGGAGTTTATGATATACTTAAAGTAAAATAACACGAAAAAGTCGGGGTCACCGCACTCGTTAAGAAGATATGACAATCACAATATACCACCTTTACCCCAATATGGCGCCATCTTGACGCTCATTACGAGCAACAGCAAAATCACAACAGCCCGATATTTATTGACGTTTTTAGAGCGGATTTTGCTTTTAGTAAACCTATCTTGTAATTATTTTTGAAAAATATTGTGTTTTGAGCGAAATGAAACTACTAACGTGTATAATTGTGATCCACATGTACAAGTGTCTTTTCCACATTTCTTGACATATCTTTCTTTGAGAACATGCATTGATAAAGGATTTTTTTCAAGATCCAGAAATGATTTTTCTTTTAATTTCGGATATGAAATGTAAAATGCATTAAAGAAATAAATTATAAGTTAAAAAACGGGGATCACCGACTGATCTTTTTAGGGAATTGTGGCATTAAAACGTGAAATACAAGTAAATAAATATACTATAGGCTGCGCTACATCCTCCTTCAAGACTGTCAGCCGCCAGTTGGTCCGTACGCTAGGATTTATAAACTGCGCTTTAAAACGTTCAAAATAAACTTGTTTGGGCTTTTGGGCTCAAAATACTATCAAAATGAAGAGAGAAGTGAGAGGAATCCACTGGTATACGGCCTAAAAAAGAGAAAACCAATGCCACCAAAGTTATCAAGGATCAAACGTACTGCATTTTTTTATAATTAGTTTAATAATTTTGAGCGATTTGTCAACAATACAATTTCGCTTGATTTTCAAAGACCATAAATCGCTAGAATACTGCTGTTTAGTAATACATTTGACATCCGTGAGTACAATTTCTTACGCTGAATCGAACGGTGGTATTTTTATCCTTATTGCGCCATTAGGCATTACAAATACAATACATGGACAAACGTAGTGCGACTGTGCGAGTGATTTGTTAACAAATATAGTACGAACTTGCGAGCGATTTGTCAACAATACAATTTCGCTTGATTTTCAAAGGCCATAAATGATAAATCGCTAGAATACTGGTGTTTAGTAATACACTTGACATCCGTAAGTACAATTTCTTACGCTGAATCGAACGGTGTCGCTTTCTTCTCAAAATATAAAGCAGCGCAGTCAAACGTATAAACTTTTATAAACTTGCGAATTGCGAAGGTTGCTGTTTCCATGCGAAATTCCTTGTAAAATTGTTCAATTTTCCCGAATTTTCCTCAAAATGCAGGGTTATTTATGGATAATTTGGATAAAATTGGCAGGAGCCTTATGGATAATTGGGGGGGTATTAGGCAGCTCATTAATATTCTATTTTGTGACTATCGACGATCCACTATCCGTGATCCGTGAAGAGATTATTTCGCTGGCCTCAAAGTGACAAAACGTAACAAAGCAACGATTTTACTGACACTAACCCTTCTCCAAACACCAACTCTAACCATAACCCTAACCCTAACCTAACCCTACTCCAAATTTGCCCTAAACCAATCTTGAAGAAAACAATTTCGACGAAATGTCATTCTGAGGTCGGCGAAATAGTTGATACCCCGTGACAAATGCATGCCGAAACCTATACTCGCCTGGGCACAGCTGCCCCAGCGAGTAATTGACTTGTAACAGGGCTATATTCAAAGGGAGCAGTCACTTTCCCGTTTTTCACATGCAATAAAAACGCCTTTTAAAAATACATGCAGAGACTGTTAGTACTTACCTTCAGTAGTTCACGTGCAACAGTAAAGTGATTTCTAAAGTAATATATTTATGTTATCTTATAATGAAATATTTTATACGTCTAACAGGTCTCGTGGGAACACAACGCCGCTATAGTCGCTTTATCAGTCGTCGGCCATATATCAGACGGCTATATCAACGCCGGCGTTTTCACACTATTACTCCCACCACCGCCATCAAGTTCAACTTTGTCTGGCAGAACCACTCCCCAGCTCGCTATACAAACTGGCGGGCTCTTACAACATATTCATACAGAGGTGCGCGCATTTGTGTGTGTGCTCTCGGTAGCTCAGGATCCTGGGCCAAGTATCCATGCACCTCGAATCCTTCATCTATCTGCGAGAAGGAAAAAGGTATGATCTACTCTACATTATGTTAATGGTAATTCGCCTATTTTATCCAAGAGGCCTTGGTGATAAGCTATCCAGGAAAAATGGCCCAAAAGAGTGCGTGGACCACACAAAAAACTGACCAAAATAGGGGAAGCATGCAAAATAAAAAGTATTCAAATGCGCAACCTGTCATGAAGCTTTGGTGTTCATACTATTTTTTAGGATGGGCAGAGCTTGTTTGGGCACATTATTACTATCCCCACTCCCGTGATAGAAATTTGATTCCTTCTGTTTTTCGTTGTGGTTCTTGAATTCAATGAATGAAATTTTGTTTCCAGTGGTGATGTCTTTGCGCATGATAAAAATTGGGTAGCATGGCATGAGGTTATTATGTAATATATGAACAACTTATTATCCAGTAAGTTATATTTATGTTCAATACTTTAGTTGCATTTTCATCAACGGCTGCAAAGCTCAGTCGAATGTTGATACGTTGTGAACAATATGCAATGCGGACTAGCAGGGGCGGCGGAAATTCGATAATTGGGGGGGGGCTGATATTCATATATTCATGTTCTGCATCATTTATTTCCTTTGAAAGCGATTGTTTTTACAGTCTGTGAACACGAATATATGAATATCAGCCCCCACCCCCAATTATCGACTTTCCGCCGCCCCTGCGGACTAGCGGTCTTTCCAGAACATTCTATAAATATTCAATATAAATATAATATCTCAGTCAAACAATAACAACAGTCAACAGGGGCCCCCACACCAAACATGCCTAAAGGCCCCTCTTCCTCCTTTACGCCACTGATGTCCTGGGACACCTATAGACGAGATCTCAGATCGCAGAAACAGTATTTCCTTGCCCGCATTCCCGTACAACCTGTGGTATATTTTAAAACCAAATCCAGTTATCTATGGTCATTTATTAGAATATTTTAACAGGCGAAATGTTATTCAATTCCATATTTTCTTATAGATGAAACAAGAGCTGCTGTTAACACAACAAGTAAGGAATAACTTATACTTTGATATATACTACTACTGCATACCTACATAACTACATACCTACATAACTACATAACTGGTGTCTATAGATTACCAACTTTAAAACTCTTCGAAAATGATCTCATATTTTTCAATGTTGAGGTCTGCATTGCATCGCGGGTTGTATATAACTCTTGGGAAATTCAAAATTTTTAAAATCCTAAAAATCATGTTTAAATAATACATTCTAGGTATATCAAATGATATATCCTCTTCCAACCTGCATATTTTTGCACCTCCCGTACCTGTATTTGAAAAAAAATGTGAACACCTCCAACCTCCCCTTCAACAACAACGACAACGACAACGACAACGACAACAATAATGAATTAATTTTTGTATTGCACATATACGTGGCACGCGGGTAGCTATAACTATATAGAAATAGAAAACAAACTATAACTAAACGAGTAATGATATTAAAACATCAATCATGTTTGTAGACAAACACGATCACGAACATGATTCACATACCCTATACAACCTAGATAGATAATTTAACCTTCATCCACGATTGCAGATCACTTACATTTAAATGCTTTACAATATTATGATCTAAAGCTTTAAATGTACAATGTTGTCGTAACTTTATTACAGTCGAGCGCAAGGGGTAGCACACAATTCTTGCCACTGTCTAAACGCCATCTAATATATTGTTACCGGATCTCGACTTTGTGTTGATCGGTCGCTGTGCACGTCGGTCGGTTGGAGGCCATGCGTTATAGCTTTGGCTAAAAATTTCAATTAGAAAATCAGTAATAAAACCACTCCAAGTAGCAAATGCTAATTAGTTAACGTAATAAACGGAAAAATAAACGGTAATTTTACGGCGCGGGTGTTATGTTTCCATATACGTCATCTAACTGATCTTTTTTTTTTTTTTTAAAGAACTTTATTGGGTCATTAACAACTATATTTACAATAATTATACAAACAACTAATTGGGCAAAGATACACTAATTTAAAATAACAACAATAAAAGAACCCAATTGGGAAAAGTGCGAACGGGACTCCAAGTCCCATGCGGGGCACTTCCCCTAAGAAAAGTTTATGTCCTATGGCAGGAGCAAGCACGTACGAGGGTCCATGTACACGGTTGATCAACATCAAAAATTTGAGTATTTAAATTATGATACATGAGTTTAATTGAACATTTGAAAGTTGAAAGACTCGAGAAACTAGATGGGGGAAGTATTTTACAGGTTGTGTTCCATAGTTTAACTATTCGATTAAAGTAGGACGCTTGGAATGTTCTGGTTTTACAAAAAGGAACTTTAAGAGTTAGAGATGGATTTTGACTAAGTCGGGTGCGATCGCTATTAACAAAAGAAACAAAATCATAAACGTTCAAATCTAAGTGTTCAAATAGCGCCTTGTAGAAAAATACCAAGTCCTTAATTTCCCTGTCGTAACATAGTGGCAATAGGTTAAGAGCTATCAGCCTCTGTTGGTAAGGTATCTCGCCTTGTTTGGATTTCAGAATCCAAGCGGTAGCTCTTCTTTGAATTTTCTCAACCTTTGATTTGAGATGTATGTTGACTGGAGACCAAACTTCTGTGGCGTAGCTGACTTGTGATCGACCTGATCCCGCTGCACTAAATCACATTCTTTCAAGAGTGATACATTTGAAATATATCTGTTTATGTTCATATATAATGAAGGCTATATGCGAGCGTTTAAGCCGCTTATTCTAATCAGGGCGCTGTTTTAATGAAGAACATGCATGCTCCTTTCAGTTACGCGTTTTCCCTATTATACCTGCGTATAAAAATAAAAACTCACAGAAAAATTATGAAAAACGCGTAACTGGAATACAGCCTTTAAACAACACGAAATAATTTAATGTGTGCATGTACCCAGTTGTTTTTTTCCCATCTACATGTATAGGTACATGTAGCTATTGAGATGCATCAAGTTTCAGGAAGCACCTTTCTTGCAAAACTAACTCCAAAAGGCCATATTTATATATAGTATGAAATTGACTCGAAAATGGGATATAAACAATTTTTCTTTTTCTTTATAGTTGTCGATGTTCCAAAATTCACGAGAGTCTGTCAATATTCCCATACTCTTCTTAGCTGTCCAAGTGGCTCGGTTATAAAAATCCAGCGTGGTTTTTGGGGAAGAAAACAACGTGATCTCTGCAGATTTGTTAGTATTATTGATTGCGGCTTGGATACTGAGCCTGCCATAACTGACAAATTGAGGAAACAATGCGATGGATCATCTATTTGCAAAGTCGAAGCTTCAAATGATCCTAAACATTTGGGAAATCCATGTTTGGGGGTTTACAAATATTTAGAAGTGAATTATACTTGCGGACTTAAAGGTATATATAATGTGACTGATATTAATACTTCAGTCTTAATATTCTTTCTGACTATCAGTACGTAATATCATTAATCATATATAAGGCTACAATTATTAGCACATGGTATCCATGCAACGTCCACTCCTGTATACAATTCAGAGGAATTTGATACCAACGTAACGCGTTACGGGAATTCGCTAAATCCGCCATTTCCGATGGTGGATTATTGCTGCCCTTTCCAGTCGTTATTCAGCTTCGAGACATTCTATTTGTCAAAATGTTTATATAATCTCACTTTCATTTTCATTTTCTCGCAAGAATACTAATGTGGTAGATTACTTACATTTCATATGATATTTGCAGGAACCGTCAAAGATCCGTGTCCGCCTGGCTGGATTCGAAGTAAACACGACAGCGTAGCTTGTTATCGTTTAATTCCATCAAAGAAAAGTTGGTCTGATTCTGAAAAAACCTGCAAAGGATATGGTGCTAAACTTATTAGCATTAGAGACAAGTAAGTGTTCATAATCATCGATCGTCGTCATGCATCCCTGTGATCACCATGCATAAATATCATTACTACGTATACCTGTTTATATCATCACCAATCCCCCGTGACCAACACCGTATCCATCTCGATCCATCTTCCACCGTTGCAACAGTGCCCGTCCATGTAGTTTCAATTTTTCTCTCATGAAATAGTATTACTTTTATTTTCCTCTTCTTGTGTTTTCGTCAAAGTCCATTAAACATGGCCGATTTAGAACAACCATGAGATACCAACAGGTTTCATATTGTTGTCTTTACTGGAATTGTCTCACAACCATATCTGATGGAAAACGAACATTGTTGGGAAGTCCAGTGTACTTCAAAGACTTTTGCGATTGAACTTTAATTCAGTGAATGTTCAAAAAGGCTTGACTGTGCACAAACCATTATTGTAACTTGGTTAATGCTTAAACATGTCACTACTGTAAATGATGACTTTATTGTAAAGGGAAAAAATATTGACTTACGTGACGTGAAAGTGCGAAAATTTCTATAAAAGAAACTGACTTTCATCGTCCTTCAAACCATGCTGATTAATATACTGCACTCCAATACGGTTTCCATTCCTAGAATCGAATTTTGTATTTGTATAGATCCGAACAAGTCTTCGCAACTTCTCTAATGGAACGTGCTTGGAATACAGATGTATGGATCGGTTTATCTGATGAAAACACATCCAATACTTTCAAATGGTCTGACGGAATACCAGTTAGTTGGACCAACTGGGCCGTGGGAAATCCACGTGGTGCGTGGACTGGGGACCACCAATGTGTATACATGAATCTTGAAAGAACAACAAAAGAATTGATGTATTGGAGAGGCGGAGAATGTAGTGAAAAAAAACTATTCATTTGCAAAAAGATAATCAGTAAGTTCTACAGTGGTTACGAATTTTATAAATAGACTAATCGGCCAATGCTTGTTTATTTACGTTGTCAAATAATTTATATTTGTGGACAACTGCCAAACCTAAATCACCTGCGTATTTTACAGGCAATTTCTTATTGAAGAAAGTTAATAAACTCTACCAAGCTTGGCATTGAAATGAAATCACAAGCACATCAGGGCGAGCCTGAGGTTGATTTGTCTCGCTTGTAGCAATTTCGTTCTCCGTTTCCCGAAAACTGTGAAGAAAATGTAGCTATTACTAAACAGAGCGTAGAATTTGGGCTATTTCTAGTGTTAATTAGACTTTTAGAAGTCTTTTTATAAATATGAAATAACCAATTACGAAGCTTTGATTGATATGTTTCTTATCAGGTTCCCTCTGATTAGTTGAAGAGCTAATCAACAAAGCGATCGAGTATATATATATATATATATATATATATATATATATATATATATATATATATATATATATATATATATATATATATATATATATATATATATACCGGGTGTCCCAAAAAAAAGTACTCCGGTTTGATTCGTAATAACTTCGAAACTAGTAAAGCTTTTAAAGAGAAATAACTTGCATCAAATAGAGGAAGCCCTAACTTAGATTTTGATATATTACACTTGTATTTCACTTAAAAATTCGCGGAGATATTAATGTTTAAAATCGGGAGCATATTTCTGGATGTGTATGAAATATGCAAAAAAACGGGGTATCAAATATTAATCAAGATTTGCCCGACTGAAACATGCACTATTACCAGTAAATAAATGACACTTGACAAATTGTTTATTATGAAACAAAGTATTGTTATCTACAAAATACAAGGAAGGTTTATTCGTCCGAAATCCGCGTGTGTTTCTATAGCACGAGTACGTTTCCTTATTTCATAAGACCACTGACTGCATCGCGAAGGATCGTCATGGATCGTTCGTGTTCTGAATTAGGGGATGCTG